AAAAAAACCTGTTATAAACCTTATAAAATGCACGAAGGTTATTTGCAGTGGTCTAAAAATGGACCCGATAAATGATGTTTGGACAGTTGTCGGAGCTCATTATGAAGATGCAAATATGGAAAGTTTTGTATCATTTAGTACAGTTATTGGATTTAAACATCAAAAGACTGGAGTATGTTTACACTCTCATGGCACTTGTAATGGAGTCACCCCCAAATCAAAGTATCAGCAAGGTATTTGGTTATATATATATATATATATTTATTTATTTATTTATACAACTGAAAGTTTATTAACGTTAATACTCTAATGACACTTTGTAGAGATAGAAATGGAGATGATGATTGGTTAATTCGGCGTTTTACCCTTGATACTTCTTATGTTGACGAACCTAATTTAAAGGATGAAGAAGAATCTTGTTTAAAGAATGATGATGACCCTTATTTGATGAATAATGATGTCATTAGTCTTTTCCATATAAGTACTGGTAAACCAGCACTTTACAGTCATTCCGTCCTATTGAATGACGGAAGCCAAGAAGTTTGCTGCCGTGGAAATGGAAGTGATGAAAACAATAAGGTACAGTATATCTAAAATATTATATATTATCTTTTACACTAAAATTACTTGCTTACCATGTGTTATGTGAAATGCTTTATTCTTCTTTAGTGGCCATTAATTAATTGAGTGATACAATTTTTTTAATTTTATATATTATTATTCATCATTACAAAATAAAATGAATTGGTTTGTATTATTGTTAAGAGATTAATTTAATACACTCTATCATCTTTAGTAGTAAATTCTCTGTTTGACTAGGTAGTCCAACTTGATGACTAGTATACTTCATCCTAAGATAACTTACATGAATTATTCTTTAGAATAAAGTTAACAATTTAAAAAAATAAATGCAAATTGGTAAATTAATGCCTGTAAATAGAGTGCTGCAAGTGCCTTAGTACTGTTACCTTGCATTTACAACTCCCTAATAATATGTAAATGAAACTGTTGAGTTCATAGAAGACTTCTCTTTGAAGGATGATACGAATCAATTGAAAACAGGATATTATTTATATCTAATTTACTATTTCATCATGTCTTCATGTGATTGCCAGTTTAATCTTTTTTATAAAAAAAAAAAAATCAAATTAGAGCATGCGGAAAATAAATTTTTTAGTCGTTTCGATTTCATGTGTTATTCCAATCATGTGTAATGGTGACTGCGAACAGCGAACATAATGTATTAGTGATAAATTTGCTATGGTTGACTATCATTTTCAATATAATTTTATATTATATATAGTTATATACAGACAGCCCATTTCACAGATAAAGTAATTTAGTCATTGTCATTAAGGTTAATTTAGAATTAGTGATAAGGTTATCAAAACTTTTCTGTGAAATGAGCTATCAGTGAAAAATTGTAAACAAACTGTTATGAAGTGAACTTGTCTGTGAATTGATTATCGGCAAAATGTTTTGTATAAGTTCAAAGTCATTTCACAATTTAGGTCGATTCCAAATTAACATACGTCAATTTTGAATTTTCTCAATCGGTAAATTTTTTAAAAATTTAAAATTATATGCCCAAGTGACAAATTATATAGCTCAAGCAATAATATTAATTATATTATTAAAACTCTTTTACAGAATTTATAAAAAATTTTTTATAATAAAATTTAGTTATAATAGAAAAATGCTTTAATGCTTCAAATAAAAAAAATAAAAAATAAAAAATCGTATAAATAAAAAATGCGCAATACAAATAAATAATAAGAAATTCACATAATTAAAAAAAAATGCGCAATACAAATAAATAAAAAAAAACACGTAATAAAAAATGTGTCCCCAGGTCGTTTAATCCGGTTCCAATCAACTCACAGACAATCACTTCATACAAGTTCATTTCACCACCAGTTTATTTCACCGAAGCTCATTTCACAGACAAAGTCGTTTTAGCTATTGTAGTTAGGGTCAGGTTAGAATTAGAGTTAAAGTTAGTGCAATTTCCGTATTATTTCGCCAACAATCACTACCCAGCCAATAATGTCACTGCACGTGACCACGTAACCCGATCGATCGAGACTTAGCCCGAATGTAATACGTTGTAAACGGTAAAAGGATCGTCAGGTCGGTAGCTCCAAAATCGGCTACGTCGTATAACCACTTAGGGTTAATATCGTCGAAAGAGGCGTGTTAGATTTGGCGAGTGGTCAACGGGATTCTATTCGGGTTCTCCTAACGAAAGGGAGGTTTCGGGTTGGTTATTAGGTAAGTGGATTGATGGAAGTTAGTGTTTACAAGTTGGGACAGATTATGTATTAGCGAATGTATTATTTTATTTGTCAAGGGCGGGAATTGTTTTTTTCCCAAAGGGCCTTTCGGCCTTTATTTATAATTGTCTACTTCTATTTACATTTCGCGATGCATACGACTGATATTACCTAAAGGACCATTCTGACCGATCGCTGCTATCCGTCATATCCGTCATATGCGACCGATGTGACTGATGCGACTTATCAGTCGCATGCGACGGATGCGACGGATGCGATCGATCTTTTCCTAATTGGGATATGAACCACAAACGGTCAGGGTTCATCCGGGTCCACAACGTCTGTTAAATTAACTAACCCGTTTTTGTATCCACCCATAATGTAATAAAATTTTTCTTGATATTCAAATTCTAATGCATTATTTGATTTTTTATTAAAGTCTTCATTATTCATTGCTGTAAATTAAAAAGAACAAATAGACAACTTTAAATTTTAGTAAGTTAAAAATGATTAAACCTTTTTGCAAATTTACCAAAGTATTTGACCGTTTTATGGCCGAAATTCATTTCTACAGATCCGCCTTGTGATCTAAATCCAACACAAGGATATAGAATGCCTTTCCAATTGTCAGGCAGGTTGCATGCAATTCCTTCAAATATATTATATATATTAAATTTCTGCTTGATTTACTTTGAAAATATAAAATTTACTAAGTTTTTATTACTCAAGTTAATTCCATTTTTTAATATAAAAAATACTATCTTGTTATGAAATTTAAATGCATCCAATAAGGTCACCAATAGTATACATTGGACAATACGGCTCATCGCTTCCAAAACAAAAAGAATATCCATCATAACCATGGTAGCTACACCCACACATTTCATTTTCCCTAGATTCTTGTTCTAATGATATTATGATATTGATATTAATATATAATACTATAATAATAAGAAAATATAAAAATCTGCTATTACCGGGCATGAGTATGTTATTTATATAGTTTATATTTGTATTTGAGTCTCTTGGGTCCTTATCGGTTTGCTTTAAACAGTATCCAACTCCAATAATTCTATCAAGAAATAATAATAAAAAAACTTGTGTTTATAGCAAGAAATAAATGACATACCCATTTTTTCCTTGATTAATAATTTTTAACTTCAAAATAAAATATCCCACATTGTGAAGGAATTGGATGATTTGCTTGAATTATAACAGCTTTATTATCATCAGGATCTTTAAAAAAGGATTTTTTTTGAACAAAATTAACAGATATCTATTATTCTTTAATTAAGTTATAAAGGTTTAACACTTATAAAATCACGATATTAATTCAATTTAATATGTTCTTTTTCTCATTTTTGCCTTACCTGTATAACTCACTTTCAGTCCATCTGACTCTATATTAATAAATGATAAATTATTTTCAATATCCCATGCAGTTGGTAAAATAATATCATTAAATGAAGTTGCCAATTCTAAATTTTCCATGAGTTAAAATGCTTTCAGGTCTCTTTTCCAGATGAGTAGTAAACCAACCTTGTACATGTGTACAAGCATTTATTATCAGACACAAAATACTATTGATGCGTTACAGTATTTGTGTAACTGAAGCGTTTGATTATCAATATTAACATTAGAGGTTGAAAGAATATGGTATTTATGTAATCAAAATATATGTACTGACGCACAATGTATATATGTTATCATAAGATGTTACTTAATGACATGAGACAAATTTATTAAGAAAAATATATATTCTACCAGCTGCTACAATGTATATCCAAATAAGGTAGCTGCGCGACGCAGTCGCGCTAAAACCAGGAACGTAAATATTTGTTTTTTATTAATGTATTGGTATAATCGATAGCGAGTTTTATAGCTTATTCAATTAGTTTTTTAAATATAGCTTAATTATATGATAATGAGTTATAATAAAATCATTATTTTTACTAAATTCACTATAATAATGCGATTATATTTGATTAATATGATTTTGATAAATATATTGTGGTATGTATGCGTTAGTTCAAATATCTTCATTTTCTCATCCACTTGGGCTTAAAATATTAACATTAACAACTAGTTAAATTTGAATAGTCTTATATTAAATATATTTAAAAATTGGTAGTATACAGCGCATGTGCATGTTATAATAATATCTTTTGGGGAATGTTTTTTATTATTGTTAGTTTAGATAAAAATTTTAAAAATTGTGAGTATCGTCAGGCCAATAATCTAGGTTTTCCGTTCTTTTTGTACATTCATTCAAGCGGTCAATTTCTGTTTTGAGGGCCAAAGGTAATTTCATATCTAATATAGATTCATTAAATGGCCGCAAAATTAGTAAGTCTAGTAGCGTGGGTTTGAGTATTAGTTTATATGGTCTTTTTTTATACTTTTTCCAAGTTTTTAACTATATATCGTTTTTATATTTTTTATAAGATAGAATCGAAAATATGTATAAGTATAAAACTTTAGAACTTTTATTAGAACAACTGTCATATTACTGTAATAGAGAGACCACGACTTCAGATTTTAAATGATAAAAGTTCATTAAAAAGATCGTGATACCTGAGTTGTAGATTTTTAGATGATATACGAAAGATTATTTAGATAATTCGACATGAATTCGTAAATAGATAATGATAATTCGATGTAAACTCATCAATTAGTTATTAAATAAACAAAATAATAGATACGCTTACCTACTTCACAAAAATACAATACATTTATTCTAATCTTTGAATTTATTGCGATTTTAATTTCACTTCGATTTTGTATTTTCTATCTTTTAAACCCATGATTTGATTGGCTGATCAACATGTGACAATACATGAACATTGTGTAACATTGAACGGTTCCTCCTGTTTATCAGACCGGATTATTTGTAAGAATGTCGATCATACTTTTTCAATATAATCATAATAAAAAACAGGGCACCAATCAGATTCAAGATTTTGCGTACGAACGCAAAACTCGAGTGGAACCATACACTACGTTCTACTACGTTCCTGGTATAAGTTGCTGTGCAACGCAGTTGCGCAAACCGGGAACGGGGGAACCTATTGTTATCCGGCTAAGTCACGTGACACGGCTAACCAAATAAGGGCAACCCAGCTAGAAAAGTCAGAATCGTCAGAAAGGACCGAAACATAGGAAAAGCATTTTGATAGAAGGGGCGAAGTAAGTAAAGTAGTCAATAAGGGGGGGGGGACACTGATGTAGTCGTAATCACAATAGTACATGTAATCTTAGACAACGTTAGTATAGAGTGTGAACTAATCGCTAAGTCCCCAGACCATAAAAACCCGCTTCTTGTAATTATCTGTTCTCTTACCCGTAGTATTGTTACACCTCCATCCGGTTGTTGTATCCTAAAGTACCAGAATCAACCGTGGTTACTCGAGTCCAACTATCCAAAGAAGTGTGATAGTTGAGGTTGTACATGTTGTCTAATTACCCGAAGTAGTGAAGTAATTGAGGATTAAAGTTAGTAGAAAGTTCAAGAGAAGGAAACCCAAGATGAGTAAAGGAGAAATACTCACCTACGGACCCAAACCACCGACCAAATCTAAACGCCTCTTTTCGACTAAGCCAACTGTAGGTTTCACGAGAATTTGGATTGTGGAACGACTGACTCGCCGTTTCGACCGATTTCACTATGCAGACACCATTTCAGTCACTGGTAAACCATATTCTTCATTGCAATCCGTTTCTGATATAAGAAAATGACTATAAAAAAAGTAGATAGTACCTACCTTTTAAAGTATTGTTCGGGGTGGATCACCAACCATATGCCGAGAATCGCACACACCTAACTCGCCTGTAGACCATACCCTATGTATTTCGTACTCCGTTCCTGGTATAGTTAGCCGAGGATTTACTAATTTCCCCCAAGTTCTTATTGGCTGGAATTATTCGCACCAAATTACATGTCACTTAATAAGTTAAGTTCAATGTCAGAAGTGAATAGACGAGTTTGTAGCAAAGACTTGCAAGGAATTTTTTTGTTAGTACGCAAAAGGCGATTTCTTAGGCGAAATTTTGAGATAAATGAGTCTTTTCAAAAACAAGCGATTGATTTTTTTAATTTTTATTATACCTGATCTTGTTCTCTGATTCGCCGTAGATGCATCATGTTATTAAATATCGTCGATTTTATCCAATTAGAAATGCGATTTACTCACAATCAATAGTAACCTGGGGACCCGTTAATTGATAGAATTTAGAGTTATGGGCTATGCTAATTAGACGTTACAAATAAGGCGTGTAACATTAAATTCGTTCATTTATTTATTATCATTTTTATACCTGTTATATCTGGTATAATATAAATCATAGCAAAATATTGAAATTGGTTAGCTAAGAACATTTATTATTATATTATGCTTATTATCGATTTATCTTTGAAAAGTACAACAACCAATTCAATCATTTTTGGCAATATTTTCTATTAAATATAAAAAAGGTTAGCTTAAATCGGAGAGAGGGAAATTAAGAATTACCATAAATGTATAAGGCTGTGCTTTGGACAATGATCAGGTCAAATTTATTTTGCAAAGAAATTTCATCGTTCGTAGGAGTTTTGTAAGTTTCATCTTTCAGGAGATTAGGTTTCGACTCTCGTTATCCCATAATTTATAATTATATATAACAACTATACTACCAAACTAATTCTATTTTGGTGACAATTGGCGCAACTTTACGATTTAATTAATTTAATTCTCTGCAACTTTAATGCATGTACTGTATAATTAATAAAGAAAACATAAAAGTTTCCAATTTTAGGATTAGAAACTTGTCGGGTTACTATTTTAGGTCTCTGAAGAAAACTATTTAAGGCTGCAATTAAATAATTGTTTCAGGTTCATCATAAAATTTACCGAATCCTACTCATATCAAAAATCATTTAAGGAAATGATGTTATGCTTATACATATACATGACAATTACTTAATTCAACTATTTTTTTATTAAAGTATATCGAAAGATCATTAAATAAATTTACAGTATAATTAATGTACAGAGGTCTCGAACGGATATCCAGAAAATTGAGATAAAATTAGTAAACATATGAAACAAACACTTTGACGTGATGAACGTCTTTGACCAGTTAACAATGGTAAATTGATTATGATTCGGAAAAATCAGTCCGCATGGCGCTTACAATCTAATTTTGTCAATCTGCGGACGGACGTACCTTTATGATTATCCTTTTAAATTTTTTATCTTCAGCCAATCTATAAAAAAAGTCTATTTTCTGTAACACAAGTTTTGTGCTCCATGTTCCAGTTTCAAGCCGCATCATATAATAATTATTTGTTTATATTTCTTTATAGTTATGATTTACCTACGGATAATCTTTTGCTGTAACAAACGTTTATGCTTAATCACATAAATAAATTTAGTATAGTCAATATTATGGACGAGTGCAAATATTTCGGTTCGTGTGCATTTATACAGACGCATACATCCAATCGTATATAAACTAGATATGCAGTGTTATTCTGTATAATTGTAATTGTGTAATTTATAGTTACAATAGGAATTGATTCATTTGTATCGATAAAATAAACCAGCGACAAAGAGTTCGAACCTCTAAAATTAACAGTTCCTAGTTATCTTTATCTCTATTTGTCTTCCTTAATCAGTAGTAGTTTACAATTATAGTCAGTTCGGAGTTCATAATTTCTTCCCCTTTGGCTCTATTTCCATGCTTTTACATACCATATACAATGATTCGTTCGATACTATATTTTATGCAGAAGTTCTGTGGTCCTTTTCTATATATATTTATCTAAATATAGGCTAAAAAGCAAAAGGTAAGCCTCAAATATGTAGTACTAATTACATAAACGTTTGTTCTAATTGCTTTTTGCAAATGCAAAAATGAAAATTTTTAAAAGCAATCAATACCAATGTAGACAAATTAAATTCGCAAATTTGTTGCTCAAAAAACTTTTGGTTATAATGTGATGTAATCGGCAAGTTTAACCGTTTATTTCCGCAAAGCAAAAATTTTTTTGTTTATCACGGAATCATTACATAATCTAATACTAGTATTATCTTTTTTTACTAATTTGGTTATCTTTTGTTATCCTGAAGATTTTGTTATTATTTCATATCGTCTATATTAAAAAATCATGTGAATCACAAAATACATGCAGTACAATTATTCGGAACAATCATGTACTTTTGAATTGATTATTGTAATATGAAAATATTTTGACAATTCGACGAATCTAATCTGATTGTTAAAAAGGATCCTTAAAGAAGAATGATAAGTTGTTCATTCATGATGTCACGTATATGAATGCGCATGAATGCGCGTTCATGCACGTGGTTCAGGTAAAATGAGTGCTCCCAAGATACATAAAGTTCCTGCGCAAGATGTACAGGTAAATATAGTTCTTTTCATTGCGCAGTCTGCAAAGTATCTATAAGAATAAATAACGTTATTTAGTATAACCTTTTTTAAGTGTTACAAAATATGGGTATTGTTTTTGAACCCAGATCAATTTTATATATGTCGTAATAACATTTTGGTCTGGATTAGTATTGCTTGCTGCAAATATGAAATGCAACTTTCTTAAAGCGCCACTAGGGTTGCAACTTATTGTCGCATCGGTAATTTAATATATATGGTTTATCTTGTAATATTACAAAATAAAATAAACTTTAAAGATTAAGTTGCGACTCTGCAGCAGGCAACATTTGTCTGGATTCGAAATTAATCATCTAAGTCAACTCAAACATGCAAATTATGCTTCCTTCTCGGAATATTTCGGGTCACCTATTTATTAGTGAAATTAAGTTGCTAATCTGCGCATAATTTTGATGCATAATAAACTCATCTATACATAGATTTTACATCTATTAAATTCTTATTGTAATTCATAGAATTATTTTCATATTATTCAAATATTTCTGATCATGATTATTTATAATAATATACTTTACAGAAGCTAGCTATTTTTTTTTTTTATTAATTTATTACAATCTTAAAGGATATAATAAAATGATTAAAATTATATCTTACAATAATCTTTTATTACTCATAATACTCTCATAATAATTTATCTTATAATTAATTTTAAATAATCTTAAATTAATTTTTTAATACTTATGATAACCTTTATAATAAGTTTATCTTATAATAATCTTATAATAAAGTTAAAATAATTTTATAATAATTCTATCTTATAATAATCTTATAATAAATTCAAAACAATCTTAAAATAATCATATAATAAATTTAAAACAATTTTAAAATAATATTATAATGATCTTTTTAATGAAATCTTATAATAATCTTAATAAATCTTAAAAAATCTTATCAATAATCTTATAATTATCTTATAATAATTTATAATAAATCTTAAACTCATCAAAAGAAAGTGTAGTTTCTGTTAGCCAATTTTTTTTTGCCAATTGTTTTTCTTTTATAACTGCTCGACCGAAATTGAAGGAAATAAATCATTTACCAATCCATCTAATGAGCTATCAAAGTCATCGATTAAAGGAATGGATTTCTCTTGTGCTGCCGGTTGCTGCGGGGGAGCGGGAGGCACCATCATTCGAATTTTAAATTCTTTAGCATTAAATCTATAAAGAGCTGAGTCAAACGTTTTTTTGAACATATCCGCAAGACGGTGATCATTGCCTGTAACCCCTTTCCAGAGGTTTGCCGCATGTTTAGAGACTAGTTTGCGTTCTAGTCTTAAATTAAGATCAACCAAGCACCCTTGGATCTTCGATCTAAAGAGAATAAAGCAAGATGCTGGAGCTCTTCCCATCGCGCAAGCCTCTAAAACTGATGGCACACAGAACAAAGAACAACAATTCATGTGCTTAACGAAATATGACCCGTCGAATTGACGAATTAATTCGGCTGTCAGATTCTTTATAGTTGATGTTGCTATTACAACATATAAGAGTTCCGCGCTGGAACTTGAAATCGGTACCAATTTGCTTTGTGAGATCATAATTCAAAAAGAAGCACGGTAGTGTTGTTAATTTTCCTTAATTTTACTTACAGCGGCAAGTAGACCATTTTATATAAAAAATTTTAACTATACAAGAATCGGAGATGTATTTCCATCAAATTAAACAACAATTAAATGATAAAACGCAGTTCAAAGCTGCCTTTCCGTCTAACAAATCTACAATATTCAGTTCTACAAATACACTACATATATCTTATACTGTCTTATCTGATTATGCAGATACCTAGAAAATAGTATCTAATTGCACATATGCTTAAAAAAAAGCAATGGTTGCATTAAATTATCAATTTTGCAATGATATTTGTTATAACACCCAACACGCGTATATTGTGATATGAAACTGTCTAAATAAAGGATCTTAAATCGTGTCCAATTACACATTTGATCTACATATTGCATAAATCTCATTCTTGATATTTTTATAAATCATGTGACCCATAGCTCCATCCAAATTGGTATATGAGATCTTCGATGTGCTTAATTTCAAAATAAGTGGAAAAATGTCGATTTCTTTTAATTATTATAAAAATTATCGTCATTAGATATACCACTCAGTCATTAAAACATAAAAAAAAAACATTTTGCCCCGACTAGATTATGAAAATTAATTATTTGTTATTTTAATGCCACTTGTCTCAAATCAATATTGTTTTAACCGCTTAAGAGTTATAATGTTCTTTATTTCTTTATTTCTTTGATTAGCTGTTTAGGTATTTCTTAAGTATATCATCATTTTTTCGTTTTTTCCGTTTGTAACTATAAATATTCCCCTTACTTTCAATATAAAGAAGAATTTTCACTTATCTAAAAATAATTCCTTATTACTTTTTAAGACACTCAAATTCTAATAGGAAAAAATTTTTCACCAAATCACGTTAAACAAGTCATTAACTCGTTCCTGAAAGTTTTAAAATATGCCTCCAAAAAAGAAAAACAGCAACTCATATTCTCAAAAATAGTATGTTATCCGTGGTACATAATAACAATTGGATTTAAACGATCAAAATTCATTGTAAATGTGATATTTGCATTGATAAAAACCCATAAACGGTCACAAAATGTAAAAGGCTGAGGGTTAGGCTGCTAGTTGGTAAGACAACTATACCATAAATTCATGGCAATATTATGATTGTATGAACAAGATTATACTTATTATTCTATCGATTCGATCAATTGATAGTACAAATAAAATTTTCCTTATTGTGACCTATTGTTAAAAATTATTATAAAAAATATGAATAAAAACAAAATTTTACATTTTTTAATTTTAATTTTGAAGTTTAATATATATTTTATAATGTTATAGTCTTTCCGATATTTTAAGTTTTTAAAATTCTCTTTTTACAAATATAAAGAATATATTTTGCTTTAGAAAACCAAAAGTTTCGATTTCAACATTCTATTAAATTATGCAACATTCAATGTGTGTGATACATTAAAATGATCATTCTGTCCTTGTTACAGATGTTACGTATTTAAATGCATCATTTACATAATAAGCATATTAACATATAACACTATAATTCAGTAAGAGTACAGAAGTGAGATGTATATCACGGTAAATACCTTGTATATGTGATACATTAAAATAATCATAACTGTCACTGTTACAAATATTACGTATTTAAATGCATCATTTACGTAGATAAGCATATTCACTAAGATTACATTCTTTGAATGATGATTAAATTAACACAACAAGGTAAAGTTGAAATATTTTAATTAAAATTGTGTTAATTGAATCGCATATATTTAGATTTTTTTTATAAAGAATTGTTACACAAATGTTAACATAGCTGCGCGACGTTATCGCACAAAACCAGAAATGGAAAATATAATTGTAAAAAAGAATTGAGAATTTACGTCTAAAGTTGAGATGGGCAAAATTATTATGTATTCTTACTTAATAAAATTACCTAAGATTTTTTTGCAATAAGTAATAATAAGTGATTTTTACGATCGTTCTATTTTTATCAGCTTTTTTTCGTCCAATCTCAGTTTTTATCACTCAATTCCGACTGTTATTATGTGTATATAATAAATAATAGAATGCAATAATTACTTAATATTACTTAATATTAAGTTAAATGATAAATCATAGGTCATTATTGCTTACAAAATTACTTTGCCCATCCATAATCTAACGATTACTCTATCTTTCACCTGATTACTTTTTTATCAGTCAAATTGACTAATTTGATCATTTATTTATGCACCTTTTATGATGATATACGATATAACTGTGGCAAATTATGAAAACAACTATTGTTTTTTTCATTGAAGTTAATGTCACTCTCATGTACTATACCGCAGTACATTGAAATGACATTAATTTTGATACTTTAATAAATATCATTATTTCAAAATTAATTTAATAAAAAATAAAAATAGTTTATTCTAAGTATTTCAATTAATTAATTATATTTTGATAAATAATTATTAAATCACAACTTAATAATTATAAGTTTATTGATATTGATTAGTATAATTTGCATTAAAAAGAATTATTAAGAATCAAGGACCAAATATTAATCCCAAATATTTTTTTCAAAATAAACAATTTAATATAAAGTTGTTTTTTAAGGTGAGGTTTTGCTTTTATCTTTATTATAATTTGTATTAAAAGGGTTCTTTAACCAAAGATCAAATTTACAAATTTTTACAAGAATGAGGCTCAGACTATAAATCTATTAAAGATTATATCATCTAGTTTAATCTAATTTATTTACAACCTAAATCTACTAGAGCGGTTAATGCTTATCTAGATTTTGTTAGTTAAAGTATTACTAATTTGATAATTAATAATATTATTAATTGAAATATTATATTTAATCTATTCAAATATTCAAATTAATATTTTTTTTGTCATTTTAATAAGTGAACAAATATTATGTTCATCTCTTATTTGTTGTTAGTCTGTTAGACTGCAAATACAATTGTAAGTATATAGTGATCTAAAGTAATGTATAAGTTCTATACTATTTGAATTAATTTAGATATATAATTGAGTGCATATATGTTGAATAAGTATATTGTATTATAGTTTCTAATTAGTAATTTTATATTATATAGTTTATATTTAATTATATATATTATATATATAATAATTCTATTAAAAATTTGATAGCAATATTAATTGTAATTTAGTTAAAATCTATATATTCTTAAATTATTTAAATAAGTAGTTTGAAAATATATTTTTGTAGTATTGTATAAGTTTTTGTATTATTTAGTGTATAGTTATTAAGAACAAAACAATGATAATTAAACAGTTTATTATAAAATTTTTATAGTTTAGTATTTGTAATTTTTAGTCTTTTAAATTAAAAAATTGTTGTATTGCATTATTGATAATAAAGTTTAGATTTGGTATATTAAAACAAGTTAACTAATGCTATTGTCCTTTATATGCATTACAAAAAATGCAATTAATGTTAATAAAAGTTGTTAAATATAATAAATAAAAATATAATATTGTTATATATTAAGCATTATTTTAATTTTGAATACTTTATCTTAGTATAATTTAAATTTTGTATATAATAATAATTTTTTGATATTATTATTAAAATAAGCTCATATTGCATTCTAGTTAATTTTTGTAAATATTAATATAGTATTTTTATATAATATTATAATTATTATATTGCTATATTATAAATATTACAGATATCATTAATAAACTTTCTTGTTATCTATTCAAATGCAAAATTTTTATATTGCAAATAGTATGATAAGTTGTATATATTGTTATATATAAATTTTAATGCATATAAATAATTTTGGTTTTTTATTAATTAATTTAATATATTATTAAAAGTATTATTACTATATGTAGTTCTTTTTTTAAAAACTAATTTTAATTTAGTAGGTTTTAATAAGATTTAGTAGAATATATTATATTGGCTAATAGTTGTAAAAGTATTGTTTATTTAGTATTAAAGTTAGTTTAATGAATTTTATATTTAGATATTATAAATTAAAAATTTATTAAAAATTATAACCTAACTAGATATTGAACAAATACTAATTGTAGCTAAAATTGCAAAAGATTATAAAAACTAAAGTTTAATTTCTGCTAAATAACTTTGTATAATTGTATTTTTTTAATTTAAATTTAACTAATTCTTTTTTTTTTTTATTTTAAGTAGTTATGCTAGTACTTTCTTAAAATTCTTGAAACTATACAAATTATATAGAATTTTTCTAATACTTAAGTTTAACATTACCAGACCATCCAAATGGTATTTATAGTGACAATTATAAGTAATAGAGCAAAAAAAAATTAGTTAGATTATAGTATTTTGTGAAATAGTAAATATATATTTTTTTTTAATTTATTTATAAATACTTTAAATTTCATATATAAAAATTTTAAAAAAATAAATAAATCAAATTTTTTAAGAACATGAACTTTATTTTACTTAACATGTTGCATTACTTTTGATCATATTTAATACAATATGATATTAAACCAAAAAAATGATTTATATATATAAAAAAAATATTTTTTATTCTAGTGCCTTTGGCCTCTACCACTTGGTATATTTATTACATGCTCTAATAATATTATGAATTGTTTAGACATAAATTGAATCAGGTTGGTGAAGGTCTCAATATTAATTTATTGCCAAATAATCTGGATCTTGTTCCAAAGATCTTCTTTGCTTAAAATTTGTCTAAAAAGATTTCTAAGCTAATAATCAATTTCAACTCATAGATGCTCAATAAAATTGAAATCAGGAGACTGATATGGTCAATCTAACAACAGAATATGATTATTTCTTAACCACTACTTTATTAACCTTGTTATATGTTTGGGGTCATTGTCTTGCTGGAAAATAATCTTACAAATATTAAACTCATAATCTTTGCCAGTTTTCATAAAATCTTTATAAAGTATTTAATAATATAACTTATTATTTATATAACTAATAATTTTACAAAAACCATCAATACTATAAGATATAAAGTAGTCT